TCCTCTCTCCACCACTGACTGCCTAAGTTCTGCCCAAGGAAGCGAGTGCATGAGGCAGCTTAACGCACATTTGCTGAGCTGAACACATGAATGAGCAGGTGCCTGTTGTTCTTCCTCCTCCTCCTCTCATTCTTGGGTTCCCTCCCTTCTTTTGTGTCCCTTCTCCCCAAGCTGCTAGGGGCCAAGCTCCACTCAGAGCCCCCTCCTCACTCCTTGGCTGGACTCAGCTAGGGGACGCAGAGTGGCTGAGGTACCTTCCAGGAAATGCCTCTGGGAATGCAGAGTCCGAGGGCAGGGTGGGGTGGTGGTGGGGGGGGGTCCAAATTCCTGTGTTGATGACTTCCCACCCACTCCCTCCCCTCTTCCCTTCTCCCCCTCCTCCCCCCAGTTGGAAAACAGAGCCTTATGGGGTGAATTAAGACTAAGTGAGATCATAGGGGTGGGGTCCTAACCTGGCTGGAAGGTTCTCTCTCTCTCTCTTTGGCCAGGTCAGCAGGCAGTGAGGACAGAGATGTCCGCAAGTCAGGAGAAGAGAACTCACCAGAATCCAACCTGACGTCAGATTGCCAGTGGTGAGAGATCTGTGCTAACATTGCTTAATCCACCCGCTTTAGGGTGCTGAGAAGACTGGAAAAACAGGGCCCTAGGCCCCTGCCCAGCCCTCTTCCCAGGCCCTCACCCCTTCCCTGGCCTGAACTCCAAGTCCTCACCTTCCCTCCCTCCCTCCTCTCCCCACTGTCGCCAACCCTGGGTTCCTGGTCCAGGTTCTGCCCCCGCATCCATATTTCCACAGCACAGATCTGGTCATTTGCTCTGATGTCACCTGCAGGGTGAAGCCCAAGCAGAGTGCCATGCGTGCTTGTGCAATGTGCAGCTTGCACAGCTGTGCGTGGTGGTCCTGCATTGCATCATTGATTCACTCAGCAACGATTTACTCCCCAGCAAATCGCAACTTAGCACCTCATGCTCTTTTAGTAACCTTCATTTATTTAGTGATGTATGGGTTGAGGGAAAGAGTATGTGCTTTCCTTTGCTGGTTTACTCCCCAAATTTCCTCAGTGACCAGGGAAGTTGACACTGGGGAACATCGATCTGGATGGTTGAAACCCAGTTACCTGAACCGTCAGCACTACCTCCCAGGATCCATGTTAGCGGGAAGCTCAAGTCACAGGCCAGAGCCTGGTCTGAACCCAGGTACCCTGGTGTGGGATGTGTCTTAATCATGAGGCTGTGTGCCCCACTCCTCCCTCCCCACCAGCCTCATAATCAGCCTGTTTCTCTCCTTGGCTTCCTGTGTCACCTGCTGGCCTGGATACCACGTACTTTTAGCCCTGCTGAATGTGGCATAGTCCTTCCTGTCTGTGTGTTTCTCACATAAATTCACCCATCTGCTAGTCTGCAGATCCTAGGACGGTCTAATGGATGTGGATTTGAACTGTAGTGAGTGAGGGCAGGTTAATCCTTCAAGCCTCAGTTTTCCAAACTGTAAAGTGGAATCAGACATGCACAGTGTGTCTCTGTCCTTAACCTCCCCTTGGTAGAAACCAGATTCACCTGCCTTTGCCTGCCCAGCATCTCTTGATGCTGGACGAGCCAACACCAAGGTCACTTCCTTCGTTACATCACTCTCCATGTGGGCAAAGTTTGTCTTTCCCAATTTCTTTTCTTCCTCTTGGCCTGGCATGGCATAGCAAACCCCTTGTCACAACATTTCAGATCGATCTGTTTTCTTGCTCCCATGAGCAAAGCATCAGGCTGGAAAACATCAGTTGCATGAATCCAGCACCTGTCTTGGGGCAGGAGAACCGCCGCCCCCCCGGCCCTGGCTCTGGGCCCCCAGACTATTGCATATGCAAGAGGCCAAAGGTGAAGGTGGTGGAGGTGTGCAGCCTTGGCCCCCCCATGGGACATGAGTGAGGGAGTGTGTGTGTGTTGCCTGTGTGAGTAGGGGGTGGTGAGTCAGTTGGAGGGGTCTGCAGGGGTGTCTGCTTCTAGGGAGGTTGCTTTGTAACAGAGTTGGGGTTTAGAGGCTGGGGTGGGAATCCCAGGTTTTCCAAATGGTGGCAAAGCAGAGTGTTGCTGCCTTCCTTCCTACCCTGGGTTTGGCTGCGAGTCCAGCCCCCTGGGAACAAAAGGCTAAAGGAATTAAGTGGAAAAAAGGGATGAGTTATGTGGGCATTGTGTGCAGGGGTAAAGTACCCAGTGGAGTGCTTGCTCCCAGCTCTTGACCCCTGGTGATGGGCATCCAAGGAGGTCATGGGGTGGCCCAAGGAGCTAGGCTCCTGCCAGCCCAGTGGGAGACCTGGATTAGATTTCTGACCCTCAGCATCTGGCTCAGGCCAGTCCCAGCCACTTTGTGCATTTGGGAAATGAACTAACAAACCATCTATCAAATCAATAATAGTAACAATAATAATAACAATAATAATAAAGCACGAGGGAGGGAATATTTTCCTGTGAGAGGAGAGGTTGGGCTTGAGTGGATAGAAAAGGCTCAATTGGCTTAATCTTTACCTTGCAAGCATTAGGATCCCATATGGGTGCTGGTTTCATGTCCCAGTTGTTCCACTTCCCATCCAGCTCCATGTTTGTAGCCTGGGACAGCAGTGGAGGATGGCTCAAAGCCTTGGTAACCTGCACCCATGTGGGAGACCTGGAAGAAACTCCTGGTTCCTGGCTTCTGGTTGGTTCAGCTCTGGCTGTTGGTGGCCATTTGGGCAGTGAACAAGTGAATGGAAGATCTTTATCTCTGTCTCTTCTTCTTTGTAAATCTGATCTACCTTTCTAAGAAAAAAATAGTATATATATATATATAGAGAGAGAGAGAGAGAGAAAGAGAGAATGAGGAAGGAGAGCAAAAATGGGGGCTGTGGCAGGCAAATGTGAGTGTCTGTGTGTATAGAAAGGGTTGGGGAGGGTAGGAGGCATGGGAGACACTGGGGAAGAGCTGGGAGGGACCTAGCATCAAGGCTTAGAACTTTCTGGAGGGAAAATTCCTGAGGTAACCGTGTGTGGGTGCGAAGACCCCTCCTCTCCTGGCTCCTGGCCTAAGTGACTACCCTCCCCACGCCCCTGCCCTCCAGCCCTTTGTCCTCTGTTGGGCTATCCGCTCTGAGCTCTCTGCCAGCCTTCTTGGGGACAGGAGGTAGTGGGGTGGGGGCAGCTGAGATGGCCATCTTGTAGCCATCTGCCATGCTGGAAAGTTTTGGCATAGAGTGTCGGTGGGCAGTGGTAAAAGAGAAGGCAGGGCTACCCCAGACAGGTCAAGGCCTTCGGCAGGCTCCCTCACAAGCCCTCTGGGGCCCCCTTCTTAAGCTCTGTGGGAAAGGGCACATCCCTGCCTCCTGTCTTGGTGACTAGGCTGGGACCTCTTATCACCCTGGACTCTAGAACAGGTTGGAAGGGCAGACCCTGGGACTGGAGGGCACAGGGCAGCCCACCAGCTGCTATAAGCTGGGCAGACCCCCCCCTTCCCCCATCCCATCAGGCCCAGGGTGGGATGAAGGGGCCATTGTCTGGCTCGCTGTATGCTGAGCTGGGATTCAGGGCCTCTCGCAGACTCCCTTGGGTTGCTCATGTTTCCCAGCCTCTCCTCGGCTCTCAGGCAGGCTGGGAAAAGCTAGGGACCCGCCAGGGAGGCTCCACATGTTCTACCACTAGCGTGGGCGCAGAGGCCCCCCGCCCCACTTACATTTTTCTGGCCTAGTGGCAGCAAAGGGGTCACGGAAAATGAAAGCAGACTTGTGGGGGGCCACAGAGGAGCAGGGGATGCGGTTCAGGAAGTGGCTAGGTGCCAGAGGGCAGGCAGCACCCTGACCTTCTGGGAGACACCGCCACCCGAGAGCCAGTGATGGGGTAAAGACACTTTATTTTTTTCACCAGGGCCGTGGCACAGGCCCCTGTGGCGGTCTGCAGGCTGCAACCTGAGACGTGAAGAATCTCATTGGCCATGCTGGGTGAGGGGCTGCTCTGAGCCCATCCTGCCAACCCAGGGCCGGTCCTGACTACTTGGGGCTTCCCAAGTTGAAATTGCAGTCGGTCAGGCCTAGCCTTGATGCCAACTGGGTTGGGCAGACTCTTGCTCAGGGGTATTTTTCCCCAGAGCATCCCGGTTCATCAGCATGATATGGTTTCCTTAGAACTCCTGCCTACCAGTCCAACTTCTGGGGGCTGCCTGGGGTTGGAGATGGGGGAAGGAAAGACCTCCCAGGTTCTGTAAGATGCTTGGTATTATTGACTCTCTGCTGCCCCCGTGTGGCTGTGAGGGCAGTTGACACATCACATGGCTGCAGGAGTGTGTTGTGTGTGTGTGTGTGTGTGTTTTGCAGTGAGGTTGGACTGAGTAAGGTTGGAGCTGAGGCAGAACCACAGAGAGATAAAACTTACATCTGCCGTAGAGGAATAGGGTCTCTGAACCCCTGTTCTCAGAGATGGGTTAACCAAGCAATGCTGGGGTGGCTGTAATACCAGCCAACAAGATGCTTGCTTATTGAAAAAATGAAAGGAAAGATGGAGCTGATGCCCATTTAGAAGGGGAGTGGAAATGGACATCATGAGTGTGAGGAAGGCGAGGTCTTTTCACACCTTTGGGGTGACTATGCTGACCTGCTGAATACTAGTCAGGTGGATTCAACAAGGCACTGGGAACGTGGGGGAAGAAGTGGAGGGAAGAAGGGTCAGGGCTTCACCCTTATGTACCCCATGGGTGCCGAGCCAGCACCAGCTGTGTGCTGTGACATAGGGGTTGCAGTCCCAGCCCAGCCTGCAGTGTCTGTGGTGTCCTGGCTGCTGGGACCGGGGGCTCCTCCCCTGTGCGTGTGCTCCAGCACCCTGGAGGCGTGGGAAGACCAGCTGACTGCATTGACCTTCTGTGGTTGAGGAGACTAAAGGCCAGAGGGGCCCGCAGAACGATTCCAGCAGGTTCAAGGCTGTTGACTTGATGCTGTCCACATGGTGATACGGCCACGCGTGACCGGGGGTGGGTTCTTGAGCTGGGAGGTCTGGGAAGGTATGTGGGCAGCCCCTCCTCCTACATCCGTTCTGGGTTCTGCAGTAAAGCTGCAACCAGGCTGATGACCCGCGAGGCTGGCTGGACAGCGTCGTACTCCGCAAAGAGGTGGCACACGTTCTCCTGAGGCTCTGTCTGGCTCTTGGCCACAAATCCAAAAATCCTGGGGGGGAGAGGAGGATCTGAGTGAAGGAACAGCCTGGGAGGTATCCGTAATGTGGGTGGGCAGGCACCCCGCAATTTTCCTTGCCCCAGGAACTCTGGGCTGGGAAGCCTTACCAGGAAGGTTTGCAGTACTTCTGCCACCTGTTTGAGAAAAATAGGCCACGAGTGAGTCCTGAGTCCTTGTTTGCTCCTCATCACCCTGCCGGGGTAGCGGGGAGGACAGGCCAGCCGCACCCTTGCCATGCCCACTGCTCTTCTTCAGCCACCCTTGAGCCCTTGGGGTTCCCAGGCCATCCCTGCCATGTCAGTCTGGGAGGGGGTATCTGGGTCCTGGGTAGCCATCTTTCTCTGGCTCGGCCTTGAACTTACTTCCGTTGCTCGGGGTCCATGCCACAGAAGCGGAGGGTGCTCAGGGGGTAGTGACGTCGGAAAAACACCCTGGGGGGATGGAGGAGGTGGGGCAGAGCAGGGAGGCTGGTGAGAGCCAGTGCCTGGGCCATGTGCCAGCATCCCTGGTTCCCCGCCTGTCCTAAGGAAGCCTTCTGTGAGTTGTGGGGACATGCCCTCTTCCCCGGCTCCTCTGGGAGGATGTCTCTCCATGCCCCCTCTCCACTGTGCAGTCTGAGGATGGCTGCTCCATCTTGGCTCTCAGTGTTTTTTTCCAGCAAGTGCCCAGCCCAGGACCAGGCTTCCTGAGGCTGAGGCAGGAATGATCTTTCCATTCCAGGCCCCAGAATCAGCCAGCCACCTCCCAGATGTTGGTCATCCTCAAACAGGTGCAGACTTTAGCCAGCCCCAATGACTACTCGTTAATTCCAATTCCACCTTTGATGAAGGGCAGCTATGGCAGGCTGTGGTAGTGGGGCCCAGAGAGGGCAGAGGGCCTCACTGTAACCACCAGCATGTGACCAATTCTTGGGGTTCAGTCATCGACCTGCTCTGCCCAGCCCCGCAGCCCTGGGCTAGGTAAGGGAGGGTCCTTACTTCCTCTGTACGTCTGTCAGCGTGATGCCCTGCTCCGTGACCTTGAAGTGCACCACAGTGGGGGTGGGGAGGACGTCCCTCTCCAGTGTGGTAGAGATGGCCTTCTGCACAGCCAGGGCTCCGCTCAGGGTCTCCACGCTCACGGAGCTCAGGTATAAAGTGTGACAGCCTGTGGGGCACACAGATTTTGCTGGGGCTACTGCCAGGGTCCTCACAGATCACCCTGGGCCAGGCCTGTCCTCTGCCCGGAGTTGGGGCAGGGAGAAGCGTGACACGCCTGCTCATGGCTCCTTTTGGAGCCACCAAACAAGAGTACAGGTGATGGCAATCTGAGGCCATGCCCACAGGATGTGGGTCTGCAGCCCATGACGCCACAGGGAGAGAATGTAGGGACTCCAAGAAACCTTCCTCCGACCTGTACCACATCTCTCCCATCCCCTCCCTCTCTTGGGGTCCCTTGGTTCTTTGCTGGAAACAGGAAGAAAAGGGAAGTGGGGTGCCTGTGTATGCAGGGGAGTAGAGTGGGAGCTATTGCCTAGGCACAGGTCCCCCAGCTCAGAGTCACACCCAGGGCAGGTACCTCTGGCCCTGAGGGACCCCAGCTGATACTCGTGTGATTGCGTGTGTGCAGGATGGGGTGTATGCCCTGCCAGCTGCCCCCGTCTCCCACCCCTTCCCTGCTGGCCCCACACCTGCAAGCCCCCCTGTTTGGGTCTGCAGGTTGAGAAGGTTACAGAAGGAAGCTGTGCCTGGGAGGGGCCCTCGGGGGTCTCAGCCCAGTCCAATGTCATCCACAGGCCCTCGGGGTGGGGGTGGGGGGCACAGCCAAGCCCCGTGTCTCCCCAATCCTGCTCACCTGCAGATTTCTTCGGGCAGGAATCTGGGCTGTCTGTGGAAGGATTCAAGCCATCCTTGGTGCCTTCCAGGTCTGAGCAGAGAGAGAAAGAGGTGCCCAAGGGTGCAGTGATGGGGTGAATGTACCTCTGAACTTCTCCCACTCACAGCCCCCCTCACCACCCCCCCCAGCAAGTGTCTGGCAAGGGAGTCAGGTGTAACCAGGCCAGAAGGTACCACTGATGAGGGCTCCCCTGGCTTGCAAGCTGCTGATCCTGCTTCTGGGGCCCTGCACCCTTCAGCCCCACACCGTGGCTTTGTGCTTACAGTCCCCTTCCTGCTCACACTTCACAGAGTGGTGCAGCAACCCAGGAAACACCCTCCCCTTATCTCTGGGCATATCACCCAGGATACAGAGGGCTGCATGTGTTCTGGGTTCAGAGTCTGAGTCTGGGGGTCTTCAGGCCTCTAGGATCCCCCATTTTCTTTTCTGCAGCATGATAATGGCGCTTACTTCCCATGGCTGTCACGGGCAGCAGCGAGCGAGCCGGTGCTTAGGGATGTTGGGTCTAGACACATGAGACACACTCCGAGCGGTTTGCTGTGGGCTCTCTGAGCAACCAAAGCTTCCGCAAATGCATTGTGCTGAGAGCCTGAGCACGTTCAGCCCCCGGGGGGGATCTGTGATGGGGATTCTCCCCATTTCACGGATGAGGAAACTGAGGCACAGAAAGGGTTACACACTCTCAGATTCTCACAGCCAGGAAATAAAGCTGCTGACCGGCTCCCCTTTTAATCTTGAGCCTAAAACGACTGCACGCAAGGGGAAGTGACCCTCTCTCCCTACACCCCCGCCAGTCCCTGGTAGACTTTCTGGTCAGCGTGCCCTGGGGTCCAGACCTACCTTTCTGTGGGATGGTGAGTTTACAGGGCAGGGCCAGGGCCATGATGGAGTGCTGGCATACAAAGGCAGACAGGCTCCCTGCAAGGGAGAGGTGGTGTCAGCTAAGCATGGTCTTCCCAGCCTATCCTCATGGCTCCCGAGGCCAGAGTCCCCAGCCCCCAGGGAGGCTCACCGAAGTAGGGTTCCTCGTCGGCTCCTTTGAGATGCACGCCCTTGGCAGAGGACTCAATGAGGAAGTGCCGGATGAGGTCACTGCCATCCTCAGCTGGACAAAGGGAGGAAGGAGAGTCACGCACGGGGACAGGGAAGCTCCAGTGCCTGGCCCACCTGACTACCTGGCCCACCTCCTCTGCATCCCTCCACACGTTAGCTTGTCCTTCCCCTGCCTTTGCAGCCACAGGTGGGGGCCATAGATCCTTTAAAGGATCTGTTTTATTTATTTGAAAGGCAGGGTTGGCTGGTTCACTCCCCAGATAGCCAGGGCTGGGCTAGGCTGAAGCCAGGAGCTTCAAGGTTTCCCACATGGGTATAGACATCCAAGCATTTGGGCCATCTTCTGCTGCTCTCATAGGCAAATACATTAACATGGAGATGGATCAAAAGTGGAGCAGCTGGGATTCGAACTGTTGGCTCCATGGGCTGCTGATACTGTAACTGGTGGCTTTACCCGTAACAGCACAATGTTGGCCAGGGACTCTGTTTTCTAGATACAAAACACATCTGCTCTGTGTCCAGCGATCCTGTCCTGCTTCCACTTCCGAAGACTCTATTGGTTGAGGATTATTGGGGTGGGTCTCCATTCCTGTTGGGTCAGCCATTAGCTCCCTGCCTGGTTTTGTTTCCTGTCTGCCTTCTGCACTCCAGATACTGCCCTTTCCAGGTCATCCCTGCTGGAGTAGCCTACCCAGGTGTCCTCTGCCCTTCCTTCCCTAGTCCTCAGTGCTCTGCTCACTTTGGGTTCACTGCTTTGCCCAAGGCCATCTGGGCAACCAACACCAGGCCCAGAGGTCCCAGCTACCCTGCTTCTGATCCAGCTTCCTGCTAATGCACCCAGGAAACAACCAATGACTGCACAAGTGCTTGCTTTCATCTCACCCAGACCTGGATGGATCTCTCTGGCTGGCCTGACCTGGTCCTGGCTGCTGCTGGGGAGCTCGTCCAATGTGAAGGGGAACTGTGTCATTGTCTTTCAAATACATAAATCTTTTTTTTTTAAGGGCATATGTTTGGGGTTCATCATACTTGCTCTATTCTTTAATTGCTCTGGGGCTGGTAACTTCTAGCATTTCAGCTCTGCCCGATGAGAGAGCAATCCTGGGGTCTGAAGCTTGGAGTGGGGGGGGCGGGGCGGTTGTAACACCAGAACCTTGTGCTGTAATTGTCTATGACGAAGGCTACATGTGTCTAGCTTCTGTGCATGGCTGCAGCCTGGCAGAGTGGCTGGTGCTTGAGCAGCTATCCAGTGAGCATGCGCAGTTACTAAATGAGCATGTGTGTTCACGGGCGAGCATGTGACCAGCTGTCTCACACACAGAGAAGGCACGCTATTGCACGTGTGATGGGCTGTTACTCACAGCTGATCAGTTATCACACAGCGATAAGCCGGCACTCCTCACCCACACCTTATTTACCATATGGGGATCCCTGGGGATAAGACTGGTCTGGGTAGAGAGCAGCCCAGAAAAGGGCTGAGATCTTCCTTCTCCTTTTCCTCCTCCTCCCACCAGAAGGGTAGACCTGGGGGCCTGGGAGACCTCTAGAAAGTAGTGGCAACTCAGGTTCACTGTGGCCTTGGTGCTTGGCCATACCATGTCATAGCCTCAGCAAGGCCCTGAGTGAGTGCAGATGTGGGGCATACCTGATGGATTCGGGGCAGATGCAGGGACTTCCTGTACCCTCAGGGCGAGGCCAAAGGAGCCCCGGTAGGAAGAGCTGTCCCTGATGATGAAAGCGCCTGGCTCCGCCCTCCGCAGCAACTCGATGGCTGGAACAGACCTTAGGTCAGAGATGATGCCACCCACCTGGATTGGCTCTGTCCCCTGTCCCCCCCCCCCCAGGCTCTTGGAGAGCAGGGGTGACAGAGCCACTTTTTGTCTGATCCCCATCCCTTCTGGTTGTGGCTCCCACTGTCTCACATTGTCAGGGCAGGCAGCAGGAACCCCCGCTCCGTGCTCCTGAGGCAGAGTGCACGGCCCAGACCTCACCTTGTTCTCGGGTGATGCTCGGCTTGAACCAGTACTTAGATGTGTCCATCACGAACTTCATGGTGGGCTGTGTGTCCCTGGTGGGGCCTGAACACAGACAGGATTGCTGAGAATTGACCAATGGAGAGAGGGCTGGCAGAGACCCTGCCCTGCTCCTCTGCTCTGGAGTCCCAAACCCAGCACTGGTATCTCTCCAGACACAATGCCACAGGCAAAACCGAACAAAAGGATGCCAGGGCTCAGGGCACCTGGGACTAGGGAGTCCCCTATGTCCATGGGAATGAATCAAAAACAAAGACAGAAATGGGAGTGAGCATAGGATTCCCACATCCATGGAGTTTGACTTCCACTCCCCTGCCCCTTGATAAACCTGGGAGTGCTGCAGGGATGTCTTCACATGAGAAAGGGGAAGGAAAGAAAACTGATCCTGGGCAGAAGGGCCTACTCCCGGGTTCTGGACCTACTTAAGGACAAGTTTTAGCTCCTGGAGCCCTGAGGGTAACTGTGTGGCTTAGCCATGAACTCGAAATGCACCTGGCTTCGAGAATGTTCTACAGTATCCAATAAACTGCAGGGGCTAATGATTGATGTCTGTGGTCTCTCTCCAGAGCTGGGAGGAGATGCCCAAATGGGGGACTCTCCTGAGTCCCTGGGGCAGAGCGCAGTGGGCATCTGCCTTGGCATTTGAGCAGTTCAGACTAAAGCATAACAAGTGCCCAGAAATCTACAAAGAGTTTGTCCTCCCTGGAAATCCACCTGAGCAGGAGTGGGCATGAACTGTGGGATGCAGTGAGCATGTCATATCCTAGGAACCCTCAGGATGGGACACCAGCAGCCAAGGGCGTGAGGAGCCCGGTCTGCGACCTGGGGACTCCTGGCGGTGGCGGGGTTGTGTGCTGAGGGAGAGCTAAGGTGTCATTTCAGGGTGGAGGGCTGTGTGCCGATGCAGCCTGTTCTTTTGGATGCCTGTAGTCACAAGCTGGGGGTAGGGGAAGGGCGTTGGCTGTTCTGTGATTTGGAATGTTGTCTCCGTTCCCTGTCTGCCCTCCCTATCCTGTTCCCCATCCCTCACCCACGGGTCTCAGCCTTAGGCCTGGCCTTCCTCCTGGTGAGTCACCTTGTCCGCCACTTGTGTGGACATCATGGAGGGCACCTGGTTCTACCCCGTGTCATGCCCCTGAGCGTGCCGATCTGCTGAGCCAGCATCTCTGACCCTGCCTTGCCTCTACTTGAGACTCTCTGATGGCCCCCTCTTCTCTTTTTAGCTTGGCATTCACGGTTGCTCTCTAGGATGCCATCCCTGCACCCAGCAGCCCAGGCATTCCTAAATGTGTCCTGAGCTTCCACACAAAAACCCAGGCTCTCCTCTTCCAGATCCACCTTGGGTGTCACCACTTCTGTCCTCCAGACAAAACCAATCAATCACTCTTCCTCAATGGCCCCGTGACATCTCTTAACCTCATTGGCTCAGTGGGGATTCTTGGCCTTGTCTGTCTACACTGTGCCCATCACTGAGTCCTCCAGCCTGGTTCAGCCCAGGTGCAGCCTGCTGCTTGATTTGCCTCTGGTCCCACCTTTCAAAGCTGGAGATACCAGTTTCCAACATACCCTCTGGGGACATGGTGGAGGGGACATCCGGCAGAGTCTGGCTGTGGCTCTTGGCAGCCTGACTGGGAGGAGTGGCTCCAGGTTGGGCGAAGCCTCGGTGTCCTGGGGTCTGCTGGGGTGGGGATGAGCCCGGTTCTGGGCAGCCATTGATGAGCACGATGGGTATGTCCGCCACGGAGTTGGTGGCGGATGGGGGGCAGCTGCTGGAGTGCTCCTTGGCTGGTATTGGGGAGCTGGTTGCTCCAGGCCGGCCTGTGTTCAGGAAGGGGTTGCTGGGGACCTGCGAGTCACTGGATCTGAGACACAGGGAGGTGGGGCTGAGACTGCGGAGGCTAGAGGAAGAGCTGGTCGGGCTTTCCCAGGATGGAGAGAATGACTGCTGGCTGAAGAGGCTGGAGCGCAGGAGGGACTGGCTGCTGGAGGAGACAAGCGTCATTAGGTGCAGTAGGTGACATGCTAAGGGCAGCATGCCCATCTGTTCCTCGGGGAGGCCAATGGAGAAAGAAACGACTCTGGACTGCTGGGCCTCTCACCACTGGACTTAGTGGACTGACCCCCCTGCAGCCATGTAGTCTTGGGGCATCCTGGATTCCCTCTGCCTTCCCAGCCAGGTGGGGTCTACAGGATTGGCCCACCAGGCGCCCCACTCCCCATTGCACCCCAAGGACCTGCAGATGGACTACAGAAGCTGAAGGAAGCCCCCAGCAGGAGGAGGTGGTGGTGGCCAGTTCTGCATCTACCCAGTCTTCTCCCTGAACGCAGAGGCCAGGGGTGGGCTCAAGAACCTACCTTCCAAACACAGAGCCGACATCAGGTGCTGGACTGGTTGACAGCGCAGAGCTCCTGGTACCCTGCTGTGGGGCTGGGGTCCATATCCCCTTCTCCAAGCCCGGAGAAGCGGTTAGCGGGGAGCCTGAGCTGTGCGATACTGAGGCCTTGCTCCCCATGCGCGGGATGGAGATGCTGGGAGAGGGCGGGGGCTGCGCAGATAGACTCCCAGAAGGAAGAGGGGGGCGCAGGTGGGCCCTGCCCTGGCTGCCAGAGAAGATGAGGCTCTCGCTGCTGCTACGTGTCTCCCTGGGAAGGTCCCTGGAAAGGAGGAGGCCACCGGTGCTGGGGGAGCCAAAGGGCGTGGGAACAGCTGTGCTGGAGCCGCGCTGGGCACTGTCGTGGCACCATGGTCTGGTGGAAGTCACCTCGATGTACTTTATATCTTTGGAGAGAGAGAGAGAGGAAGAGTGCAGGTGAAACTTGGGAGCTTGGGGTTCCCAGCATGGAAATGGCTGCACGACTGTCTGAATGCCTCTCCTTTTGCACAGTTGGGGAAACTGAGGCTGGGAGAAGAGGCGCTTGTGGGAATCAGGGTTCACTCCGAAGTTACCCTGTCTATGACATCTTCCCTAGGGTGGGAGATGCTGTGAGACTCTAGAGGTCAGGTGCACTTGGGATAGAGACCTGACCAAGACATCATATGGACTCAGTGTGTACACCTGGAAGATGGGTGACTCCTCCCAGCAACCAGGAAGGATGACATGAGATGAATTGGCACACCAGGAAGCTCTTCGGTCTTGGTACTACTCCCCAGGATGAAATGGCCCTGTGTGGGGCACACAGGGACACGCGCTGCTCAGGAGGAGTGATGGGGGGAGGGGTCATGTGCAGCTCTGAGGCAGGTAGCAAGGCCTGAGTGAGCCCGGCTGCACCCTGGTTAATCAAATCAGACTCTTTAAGGGGGTGCTCAGTCCTCAGGCCTGTTGGTCTGCTTGTGTTGTTGTGGTTCCCTGGGTGATGCTGGCGTGGGCTGAGCTGCTGCGTAGTGATTTATGGTCCACATCACCTGGGAACTGGTGACTCTCCGGCTCCACCCCAGACCTGCAGGATCACAGTTTACAAGGACCTGGAACACAGGGCAGGCTGAGACGTCTGCTTTACGGGAAAGGGTTGTGCCCTCTGGGGCAGGGCTGGCTGGGACACCTTCATGGTGCCTAGAGACCCAAGGCTGCTGATGGGCACCCATGCCTCTGCATTTCCCAGGGAGGGTAGCCAGGGCACCTGCATGAGGATGGACACCCTTCCTTCCTGCCTGGGTGGGAGGGCAGCTCCCTAAGGCAGAAGCTGGGGCAGGCAGTCAACCTTAACTTGTACCCTAGGTTCCTGTCTATGGCCTCCCCCACCCTTTGGGCCCTGGCCCAGTACCCCGATCCCGGTCTTGACTTGAAACCATTGCTTGCCCCAGCATGCTCCTGGGCAGGGCCTTCTGGCCTTGATTGTGGCTACTGCCTCTGCCTGAGCCTGCCTGGGCTGGGTTGAGGGTGGGAGGATGACATCAGAGGAGTGAGACTGGCAGGATGACCTAGACTTGTTGCTCCTGGGGTGGATAAACAGCCTGGATTTGCAGCCAGACACATAGACCAGGGTGTGAGGCCTGACTTTGCTGGGGGACTTTCTGGAACTCTCTGAGTTTGCTTATCTGTGAAGTGGGCATCAAGGTTCAAGGTCATGGATGGCCAGCTGGGTGCCTGGCTCACAGTGGGGCTCAAGAAAGAGCATTCCCCTCTCCGAGGAGCAGGCAGGTGCTCTTGGCTAAGGTGGACATCCCCCTGCCTAGCTAGTGAAATGGGGACAAAGGGAGACTGATTGAGGGTTGAGAGAGGAGAGATCTGGGAGTGGGGTGGAACCTTCTAGAAGGCTGGTAAGCACAGCTTTTATTTTTATAGGCCTTTATAGACATGACCGCACCCGTGGTCTTTGAGCCTTGTAACAGCCCTGAGGCAGGGCAGGCAGTGCTTTTACAAGATGGGACACTGAGGCTGAGAGAGGTGGGAGCAGAGTTAACGTTTACTGAAGATGGGAATGAAGCCAGCGTTGTGGCTTACTGGGTAGTAACATTGGCATGCTATATGGATGCCTGCTTGAGCCCTGGCCGCTCTACTTCTGATCCAGCTCCCTGCTTATGCACCTGGGAAAGCAGTGGAAGATGGTCCAAGTGCTTGGGTCCCTGCCACCCACAGGGGAGACCTGGAAGAAGCTCATGGCTTATAGTGTTTGCCAGTTTTACCCAGTGGTGGCCATCGTGGTCATCTGGTGTGTGAACCACCTGATGGAAGATGTCTGTCTGTAATTCTGACTTTCAAAATAAGTAAGTCGAGAGAGAGAGAGAGGAAGGCAAAGACTGGTGTGAACCAGGTGCCTGTGGCAGCCCCATTCTAGCAGTGTCAACCATATCAACTGACTCGTTCGGCTGTTACAACAACACTGCCAAATAGGAAGCATCATTTATTCCCATCTCACAGGAGAGGACCCAAGGCCCAGAGAGGTTGGTGAGCTGTCCAGTGTCACACAGAATCCAACCTTTCTCCTGAGCTTTCTCTGGGGACCTTGTCCCAGGATGAGGAGGAACTCCAGGCCTGGCCCTGTGAGAGGTGCTGGGTTGCCCCCAAGAGGGTCTCTGGGTCTGGCTTCCTCTTCACTTAGGGTCATCCTGAAGACCTTGCTAGAGAAACAGCAGGCAGAAAGGGCAGGAGGAGGCTGGGCTATGAGTCACCCCCCTGCTGCTGTCAGGGGCATGTGGCCGCAGGAGGGGAGGCCCCCACCCCATGGCAGGGCACAGCCGCTGTTTGCAGGCCTGAAGGGCAAGTTGGAGCAGGGCTGGGTGCAGGCGGGCGGTGAGTGGGCGGGAGGGTGGAGACAGCTGTTAAACCCCCTTCCCTGGGGACTGGTAAACAGCCCCGGCTGGCAGGCGTGGCTGGAAAGTGTGGTATAGGGGCTGTTATAAAGAGGGAGAAGGGGGGGAGGTCACAGGACAGGGTGTGTGCCTCTAGAGCCACATTCTGTGCAGGAGACAGACCCTGAGGGCAGGACCAAGCCAGGCCAGGCTAGGCCCCGGGGAACCCAGGGAGGTTAGCCTATGGGGTCCTGCAGGAGGGTGATTCTGTGAGATCCATGGAGCCCGGACATGGAAGGCGAGGCCCAAGTGTGGCCTGCAGGACCCACAGTCCCTGGGTTGGAGGCCTGACCTGCATTTGGTGTGCCTGTGGACCCTTCTCCCTGTCTGTACCTTAACTGCCTCATCTGTAAAAACGGGGCTCCCAGTCTTTCTTCCCCAGTGTGGGTGTTGGGCGCCATGTGCTACGTGGAGCAGATTTTTCACTATCAGTATAGGGTTGTTGCAGTTGAATGTTTAGATGTCGAGTTGGGACAGGAGGAGCAGCGAGCACCTGCAGGCACCTGCCTGACTGTCCCTGCTGCATGTAAGTCTTCCCTGCCCTCATCTGCGTGCATCTCCAGAGCTGGCTCCTGCCGGTTTTGAACTCATGGAGCTTGTACCCAGGGGGCATGGACACAACAATCCGGGCTTGTCCTTGCCAATAGCCACGCGGTTTCTGAGGCTGGCTGCCTGGTCATGCAGGGACGTGCCCCTGACTGGCCCTTAGCAGCAGAGAGGCTCTGGAGGGACAGGGTTAGTTCCTCTAGCAGGCCTGGAAGGCCATGTGTGGTGGGAGGAGGGTGGAGGCGGTGAGACTGGAAGAGCTGGAGCCCAGGGTGCCAGAGGGCCTGGGTGCTGGGCAGACCTCCATCCCAGAACCTAAACCTACCCTGGGGCTGGCCCTAACGTGCAAGCCTAATACTTAATCAAAACAGCCTCCGCTTCCAGAGCCTTAGAGCATGCCAGCAAATGGGATTTCTTCAGTCCCTGCAACACCCTTTGAGGCCAGATCTTGGATGATCTGGGCTTTACTCGGGAGGAGTGACCCTGAGACACAAAGACAGGAAGTAAACAGCTTGTGTAAGGTGACTTCAGTGATTACAGCAGACTGGTTCCTTATTCAGTCCCTGCTTTTTCATCTAAAAAAACGAGGATAAAATACTTGTCTCTTGGGGAAGGGTTGAGCAGGCTGAGGATTCTGTACAAGATGCTCAGCTTGGTTCCTTGTGTGTGAAAAGTGCTCAGGGGAAGTGGACAACAGTCCGTGGGGGTTGCACCTTGTTCCTTATACCCTGGGAAGCCTCAGTCTAGCTGCCTAACGGGACTGCTGCCCTAGCCCCTCACTCACAGAGTACGTTTGAAACTCTTGGTTCGGGAAGCTGAGGCTGGAGCGGGGAGGGGAGGGGGGGACAGGACTGTCCAAGTTGCCTCGGGTGGCCTGTACTGGCTTGTTAAGAGATGATTGCAAAATTGTTAGGATTTTGTTCGGCTGGTTGCTAAACGCTACCATTATTAAAAATTAGATCAGATCAACTGACAGTGAGGCAACTTACATTGAAAAGCAACGGCCCTAGACGTTCAAAACGCAGCTTGTCCCAATGGTTTTACTATAATCTGTGCTCTTAACATTTAGTGTACGGTGGAAAAGCAGTAAAACAGCTTGCCACTCACTGTTCATCTTTTCCTGAATCTGTGCTTACAAACATCCTGTGGGAGGCTTGAAACCAGCCAGGGAAGCAGAACTTGGGGAGATATGCAGATTCATCTCCACTTCCCTGAATGAGGGAGCGAGCCATTTGTGACATATCTGTCCACACAGCAATGCTAGAGCACAACAGGGATCCCACTCCTGATAAGGCTGCATTCTGTGTCTGTTAACTTCATTAGGTCCTGCCTGGGCCTCCCAGGAGAAGGTACCTCCTAGTACCCTCACCAAGCACTGGACAGCAATCCCATACCCCCGGGTGGTGGTGGGGGGCAGAAAGGTAGAGCCTATGGCCCTGCTCACAGAAAATGCCAGTTAGGAAAACATACATTCTGAAATAAGTATGCATGGATTTCAAAAGTTTCCTGCACCAAGATATGCATTATGATAATGTGCATTGAGAAAGAAATGCACATGGATTTGCAAATGATTATTTTGCAAGCGAGTAAACTTCTCTTTTAATTCCGTTTTCAGGGAACTTTTTGAAATGGCCTCCTAGTTTGCTTTTCGAAATTCTCATAAAAATTGCTTAAGACATCCCAAACTCAGGAACCAGACAGGACTGGACAGTGAGGGAAATTTGCATTCATCTTGTGCAGCAGGGGAAACAAAGAGGCTGGTCCCTTGCTTTGGGCTGCGCAGCACCTCCTGATGGGAACCAGCTCTGACTCCCCAGGAGCTGCAATTTTCTCCTTCTCAGGAGGCAGGTCCCAAGCCTCCCTCCTGGCACCAAGTCCCAGTGCTTACCCAGGGCTTCAGGCTCCTCCTTCTTTATCCTGGAGGTGGTCCTCCGTGCTGGCTCAGCCTGGGCCATACCAGGCCCTGGGGGCAGCAGCTGGAAGGTGGGGTCCAGCTCCAGAATCAGCTGGTTGAGGCTCTCTAGGCAGAAGTCGATGCGGGAGTCCAGTTCCTCTGGAGGGTCCGAGGCCTGCTCTTCAGGGTCTGGCTGGTTGAAGTGGGCTCTGGCCGCAGCCTGGGGGGCCTGCTGGAGCCGGGTAAAGGACCTCTGGCCAGGTGTGGGGGCCATCAGGGCTGGGGCACCCCAGCCTTCTGTGGTGTAGTAAGGACACTGGGGTGGCAAGCCGGGGCTGGGTGCTCCAGGCTTCCTGGGTTCCTCACACGCAGCCAAGCCGACGGCAGGGCCCCCGGCCAACAGGGGGCTGGACATCACGAGGGACACGGCGGGGGCAATGGCCTTTGAAATTTACCACTGTCTTCCAAGCAGCCTCACCAGCATTCTAGATGCACTGTCACTTGTCAGCAGTGGCTCCTAGGAACTGTAAGAGGCCAGGAGTAGGGACTGAGTAACTTCTGTGGGTGAAGCCATTACCTTTCCTCCCCCTAAACAACAATGCTACTGTTGGGCCCAGCACAGTAGCCTAGTGGCTAAAGTCCTCACCTTGAATACGCCGGGATCCCATAGGGGCACTGTGGCACTAATCCTGATGGACTTGCTTTCTCATCCGGCTCCCTGCTTGTGGCCTGGGAAAGCATTTGAGACAGCCCAAAGCTTTGGAATCCTGCACCTTCATGGGAGACCCAGAAGAAGTTCCTGGCTCCTGGCTTCAGATAGGCAGCTCTGGCCGTTGTGGCCACTTAGGGAATGAATCAACAGACAGAAGATTTTCCTCTCTGTCTCTCCTCCTCTTTTATATATGTGACTTTGCAATAAAAATAAATAAATCTTGAAAAAAAAGAATGCTGTTTATTTATTTAAAACTGTAGCTGCTGGGTTTGCATCCCACCTCTACCGCTTACTAGCTGTCTTATCTTGAGCAAGCTAATTAACTTTCCTGAGCCTCACTTTCCTTATCTGTAAAATGGGTTAATATTTGTAACATGCTTGGAATCTGATAAGCATTGGAAGATGACCGGTCAGTAATGTTGATAGATGCTTATTGAAATGACTGTGTTCCAGGCATATAAGGAAAGAATATTAGATAACGTTATTGAGTAATTGCTATGCACCCCTAAAGCATTTTTTCTAATTTAAACTTTTCATTTGTTTGGAAGGCAACGTGATGGGGGGCGAGGCAGATAGAAGAGTGAGACAGAGAGGAAGTCATTTAGCTCTTTGCTTACTCCCCAAATACCCACAAAAGTTGGTGTTGGGTCCAGCCCAAACCAAGAAGTTGGGACTTCATCTGAGTTCCCCAAATGAGTGGCAGGGACCCGAGGGCTTGAGCCATCCTTTGTCGCTTCCCAGGTGCATCAGCAGGTAGCTGGATCAGAAGCTGAGTAGCTGAAATTTAAACTTCCCAAGGGGGTGTGGCACAATGCTTACCCCTCATAACAACCCTACAAAGTAGGTAGTATTTTATTTTAAAGATTTATTTTTTATTGGAAAGTCAGATATATAGAGAGGGGGAGAGACAGAGAGGAAGATCTTCCGTCCATTGATTTACTCCTCAACTGGCTTCAACAGCCTGAGCTGATCCGAACCCAGGAGCCAGGAGCTTCCTCCGGGTCTCCCATGAAGGTGCAGGGTCCCAAGGCTTTGGCAATCTTTGAATGCTTTTTCAGGCCACAAACAGGGAGCTGGATGGAAAGCGGGCCTGTCGGGATTAGAACCAGCACCCACATGGGATCCTGGCGCATTCAAAGTGAGGACTTTAGCCACTAGGCTACCACGCCAGGCCCTTTATTTTGTTTTAAAATATTTATTTATTTTTTGAAAGGCCAGTTTATAGAAATAAGGAGATACAGAGAGAAAGATCTTTTGTCCTCTGGCTCATTCCCCAAGTGGCCACAATGACCAGAACTGAGCTGATTTGAAGCCAGGAGTTTCTTCTGGGTCTCCCATGCAGGTGCAGGGTCCCAAGGTTTGGGCCATCCTCTATTGTTTTCCTAGACAACAAGCAGGGAGCTGGGTGGGAAGTGGAGCAGCCAGGATATGAACCGGTGCCCGTTTGGGGTCCCGGCAGATACAAGGCAAGGATTTAGCCACTAAGCTATTACACTGGACCTGGTAGTATTTTATTTATAAAATTTAATATTTTGTTCATCTGAGAAGAAGAGAGAGAGAGATGGAAAGAGATCTCCCATCCACTGGTTCACTCCTTAAAAGACTATAGTGACCAGGACTGCACCAGGCTGAAGCCAAGAGCCAGGAATTTGGTAGGAGTCTTCCCCATTGGTGGCAGGGATGCAGGTCCCTGAACCCTTGTATAGTGCCTCCCAGAATGCACATCTGGAGGAAGTTGGGATGGAGCATCACTGGGTCTTGAACCCAGGCACTCTGATATGGGATAAAGATGTTCCTATCAGCGGTGTAACCCAATGCCTGGCCCTAATTGGTTTTTCAAAGTAAAACTCACACTTAAAAAAAAAATATGTACTTGAGTAAGAGAGAGACAGAGAGGGAGAGAGAGGCGAGATCAAGACTGAGAGAAGGCCATGAAGCCCAAGGGCCAAAGCTGGGGGCCAGGAATACAATTCAGGTCTCCCATGCAGATGGTAGGGGCCCAGTGGCTTGGCTATCCCTGCTGCCTCCAGCACTCAGAGCAAGGGGCTGTCCCAGCAGGAAGCTGGAGGCTGGAGCTGAGTCCAGATACTCTGACTGGTGTGAGCATCTTCTCTGGCATCTTAACTGCATAGGACAAACACCTGCCTGCAGGCTGCCATTATTATCCAATTTTACAACTGAGAGAAGCAACACACAAGAGAGAGCAATACCTTGCCAAGAGTCACAGTGGCAGCAAGCGTCAGAGCAGAGTGGGCTCCAGGCCGCCCGAGGATCTGTGCCCATGAGTGAGGAAGAGGGAGAAGCAACCCTAAATGATATCACCAGGGAGGAGAATTGGGGCGGGGGGACTCTGTAGACCCTGGTGGGGAGTGCAGGGAGGACTTCCTGGAGGAAGGGTCATGCAAAGGGAGATACGAGCCCAGGAGACTGCTGGGCAAGAAAGACAGAGTCCAGGAGGCAGGTGAGTGTTCGGAGGGCACAGTGTGTGTGTAGAGAAAGGTCTGGTGGTCAAGGGCCATCACGAGAACTCTGCTGCAGCCCAGGGGAGTCGCAGGGCCCGCCTGGCTGGAGCCCTGCAGGTGGGGCTAGGGACTGCCCACTCAAGCCTGAGGACAGTGGGAGCCACAGAGAGGTCTGGGCTTGGTGATATCAGCAGGTGATATTCACTCCCCTTCCCTCTGCCCCCGGGGTTGCTGATCTAGGAAAGCAGCAGCCCAACTTCCTCATCTTTTAGTTGGGAAAGTTCTTCCTCTTGTCTAGCCGTGACACCACCAACTAGTTTCTTGGCGTGGTTGGAGGTGAGAAGTTCTGGGACTGAAGGCAGGAGGGTGGCACTGCCCCCCACCTCCCAACTCTTGTCCAGAGCCTTGCAGCTGGCCCATTCCCACCCGTCCCCGGCATCGCTGCTGCCGACATTCGACATTCCTAATGCAGTTGAGAAATAAGGGTTGAGGGGCACAAGGGCCCCAACACCATGGCTGCCACATTCTAGCTGCTCCCTGTGTGTCACGCCACCTAACGGACACGCGCATTACACGTGGTGACCTGTAGTTCCAGGCCTGGGGGGTCGTACACTATGATCAGCCCATTTTATGCAGGGAGACATTGAGGCTCAGGTAAGTGGAGGGACCTGCATCGATTGTACATGCAGAAGAGGGACGGAACTGGGATTCAAACTCAGACTCCGGGGATTCTGAACTCCCCATGCTACAGTGAAGTTCAAAGGCAGAAGGGCATCTGTATTGTCTAGATTGGCAGAGTCAGTGAGAAAAACCAGGTCCTCTCCTTACCTCCTGCCCCTGACTCCTGTCGGCTGGCAGCCAGCCTTCTCCCTGGCCAGGTCCTGAAGGGGCGGTACATCCCGGGTACGGGAAGCGTGTCTATAAATGGCAGTGGATGGGAGCTGCCTCTGGGATCCTTCCTGGGGGCAGTCGAGGACACGGAGCTGGAGTTGCAGCTCTTTTGCAGGCAGGCGCCAAGTGTCCTGGGTTTGTTGGGACGAGATTGGATCTGGGCTCACCCTGCAGGGGTTTCTGGCTGGGTCCACGAAGAATGAAGGTCACTGACTGTGCAGAGTGCATTGGTGGTGGTGGGCGGGGGCAGGGCTGGGAGAGGAGACCAAGCTGGGTCTCCTGCTAGTGCGCATGCTCAGATTACAACTTTTATGCCACCCTGAGCAAGTGTCCTTTCCTCTCTGGGCAGGTCTCAGTTGTCCCATCTGTGGAATGGGTATAAAAGCATAATAGCTACTTGAAACTGAACTCATTTGCCCAACAGTAGCGTGAGAAAGGCACTATGACTGTATCACTGAGAGATTCAGGGCTTCATTTGGGATCGTGCAACTGGCAAGTGGGTTTGAACCCTATAGTCCCACACTTTAACCCTGCACTACCACGTGGGAGATTTAGAATGTCTTCTGCCAATTCTGGGATTTTACAACCAGCGGCACAGACCACGGGGAAGCAAAGGGCAGGCAGCCCTGGGGCACTCCTTCTAAGCACCTCAGGGTTCCTGGTGCGGGGTCTGGGTTTCAGTCCCTTCCTCCTGCACCCCGACCCCTGCCTGGCTCCAGCATCCAGCTGCCTCCTGCTTCCTGCTGGGAGCGGCTGGAAGAGTCCTTGGGCTCTGCACTCCTTGTGTGCATTGGGCGTGGAGGGTGGTTAGGCAAGGCTCCGGTCAGCTCGGTCCCGTGTGTGGGTTCTGTCCGGTGTAATTCTTCCCCCACCTGTATCCCCAGCGCCTGGATCCTGCCTGCCGTGCCTTCCCACCCAGCCTCAGGGCAGTGGAGACCTGCAGGAGCAGTCCCCAGTGCTGCCTGCCACTGACCGAACCAGAGCCAGGCTGGGAGGTGGGAGACCTGGACTCCTTGCCAGGTCCACACAACCTTAGCCAAGCCTTGACCCCTCCATGGACCTGGGTTCTATCATTTTTCCATGGTATGGACAGGGGGGCAGAGTTAGCACCTCAGAAAGTGCTGGGCTCAGGGCTCTGGGACCCTGTCGTCCCTCTCTTGTCCACAGCCTCCTCCCACTTCCCCACTTCTCCCAGTACTCTGAGGAGAGGTGGAGAACCTGAGGGTCACCTACCTGGTGTGATGGGACGAACTGGCTGCTCCTGCTGCACTGCTGGCTCCGAGGACCCAGGTGAGAAACTGGAGGAGGCACCCGCTCACTTCCCACCTCCACCGAACCTGCCTTAAGAACAGCCCGCCTTCCCCTCCCCTCAGGCCC